ATTACCGAAACCTAATTTGGAGATTTGTGGACAGATTAGCCCAACCTATCTGTTCAGTGGCCGGAGAGAGGATTACTGTTATGGAGAGACAATTCAGCAAATTTAATAAAACGTTCAAGTAAGATTTTATATGAAAAAAATAATTTTTGATAAGTTTTATTTAATCATAATTAATGTTTATTATATTATAGATTAACTGGACGTACAAATGATGCAATCAATTTTGGTTCGTATAACTATTTAGGTTACGCTCAAAATAGTGGTCACATAACTGATTCGGTGGACAAAACTATTAGACAATTGGGAGTTGGCTTATGTAGTACTGCCACTGAAATCGGTAATAATATATTATAATTAATTATTGACACACAATACAATTGTTAAATTTGCTTAAACTTTATTTTTGAATTGGAAATTAACTATTGTGTGACTGATTACAGGACGACAGCAAATATACTGCGATTTGGAGGCATTAGTGGCCAAATATTTAGGCACTAAAGACGCCATTGTTTACGGTATGGGTTTTGCAACCAATGCTTACACAATGTCTGCGCTGTTCGGAAGGGGTTGTCTGGTATTGAGCGATGAACTCAATCATTCGTCGATAGCATTGGGCTGTAGGACATCGGGGGCTCACATACAAGTGTTTAAACACAATGACATGATCGACCTAGAGCGTTTAGTGCGACAGTCTATAGTATGTGGTCAGCCCCACACCGGGAGGGCCTGGAAAAAGATTGTGATTATAGTGGAGGGTATTTACTCAATGGAGGGAACTATTGTTAATTTGCCGCAAATTTTACGAATTAAAAAACAATATAAATTATACGTATATTTGGATGAAGCGCATAGTATTGGCGCACTTGGTAGCCGTGGAAGAGGTATGTATTTATATTGATTAATGTTTTAAAATTCTTATAAATAGTGAAAATTAAATTCAATTTTAATCGATAGGTGTTTGCGATTATTACGGCTGCGACCCGAAGGACGTGGACATACTTATGGGCACTTTTACCAAAAGTTTTGCAGCGGCCGGCGGTTATATGGCAGCATCTGAGCGGACCATTGCATACCTGCGCTCACACACCACAGCCTTTCATTACGCAACACCAATCGCTCCGCCAGTTGTGCAGCAAATTATGTCCGTTTTGACTGAATTATGTTTTAATCAAAACGATTCTCACACACGACTCAAACGTCTTCACGAAAACACTGTATATTTTAGGCAAAAACTTAAACAATTGGGATATCATTTGGACGGCAACGACGACTCGCCTGTCGTACCGCTTATGGTATATTTGGAGTCGTATTTGAAGTATGTATTAATATCTATTATGTTTAAAAATTAAACACAACTATAAATACTATAAATGATTGATTTATTTACTAAAAATACTTTTGTATAAAACCAGATATTTCTTAATACGACTGATGGAGTCGGGAATTGCGACAATAGGTGTTGCCTATCCGGTCACTACACTAATTGGGGTCAGAATAAGACTGTGTGTCAGCGCTTCTCA